CTCTGCTCCTATGATGCTGCTTGGCCTGCTGTGTTCATCCAGCCCTGCACCTTGTTGTCAATGAGAAGGATGAACTCCCTGGGATTAACTAAAGTGGTTAAGGAGATTACGCAGTCAAAAACTAAGGCATATAAAGTGACAAAATCTACTGCTAGGCTGGAGAATTGACTTTTTAGGGAACCAGGCAGCCTTTGACGGAAAAAAGCTCAGAGCAAGAAAATTGATGATATAAGTAAATTAGCAAGAACTAGAAAAACAAACAGAAACAACTTCTAAAGGTATATGAAGAGAAAGAGGAGCTTAAGTAAATATGGGAGTTTGGAGGATACAACTGGAGAACTGACAGAGAATGGGGAAATGGCATAATTTAAACCAATAGCTTGTATCAGTCTTCATGGTAGAGGACACTATAAACATTCCAAAGATAACAGACAAGCAAGGTCCAAACCGAAGGAAAATCTTGTTACAGTCTCTGTCACAAGGGACAATGTATTTGACAAGCTAATGAGACTAAAGGCAGAGAAGTCACCAGGATCTGATGGAGTACAAAGGTTTGCAAAGGAAGTGGCTGCAGAGATAGTGGGGGCATTGGTTGAAATATTCCAGTACTTCAATAATTCATGAGGAAGAGGACGTGAGTACAGAAATTAGGATGATGATGGACTGTGAGGCTCCTGAATAATTTATATTGGAAGTGAGGAGGTATTAGAGGTTCTGGAAAGTTTAGAAGTGGACAAACTGCCAAGTCCAGATGAATTGTATCTCAGGCTGCCGTGGCAGATGAGCTAAGAAATAACAGGGTTCTGACCCAAATTTTTAATTCTTCTGTGGCTAAAGGGGAGGTGCCAACGGTCAGCCAATGTGGTTCTACTTTTCAAGCAGTGTCGAAGATATTAATTTAGTCACACACTGGAGCTTTAGACTTCGAGGTAAAGAGGCTTTATTACATGATATCACGGGGAGCCAACGCTGACAAAAGGTCAGGTCCATACTCTCTGATGAATACAAAAACAAGGCAATACTTCTATGTGCCGTTATAGATTGAGACAGCTGTTACTAGTAAATAAGCTCGTACAGTTTATCACATCCCCTTAAGGCAGGTCATATGACATGTCATACATCATGGTTCCACAACTTGTGGTTGCTGATACGTTATCTTTAAGCAGAACGTGTCTTAAGCTTGGAGTCAACATTGAACAAGCTCTAAGCTTTCTACATATATGCAACAATTTGTTGTATATCTTCTCCTTGACCTATTTTCCCATCATTCCAACCTCTACTTCTAAACTTTAGCTACATTCCACATCTAATTGCTCTTGACACTTTAATTATTCTTCCACAAGGAGAATGGTAAAGATAAACCAGTGAACTACAAACCACTGAGTCTCACATCAGTAATTGGTAACTATTGGAGAAAATGGTGAAGGAAGAAAAAACCTCCATTTGATCAGGAGTAGCCAGCATGACTTTATCAGAGGAAGCCTACCAAATCTGGCTGAATTTTCAAGAAGTGACCAAGCATGTAGATGATGGTAGGGCAGTTTATGTAATTTATGTGGATTTCAGAAAGGCCTTTGGCAAGGTCCCACGTGACAAACTGATAAAGAAGCTAAAAGCTCATGGGATCCAGGGTAACTTGTCAAGTTTGTTTCAAAATTGGCTTAGTGACAGGAGAAACAGGGTGGTGTTAGAAGGCTGTTTGTGTGACTGGATCTGGCATGCAGTGGCACACCACAAGGATCACTGCTGTGTCCCTATTGCTTATTATGTATACATAAATGATGTAGATTAGAATGTGGGAGAGATGAGAATGTGGTTGGAGGGGGATGATAAGCAAGTACGCAGATGACACGAAGATTGACTGAGTGCGAGGAGAAAGGTCTTAGGTTACAGAAGGATGTGCATGGATTGGTCAGATGGAATTTAACCCTGGTAAGTGACAGGTTATCACTTTTGAAGGAGGAACAAGACAAGGGAGTACTCAATGAATAGCAAGATACTAGGAAGCTTAGAGGAACGGAGGTGATCTTGGAGTGCTTGTCCATAAATCCATGAAGATGGTAGGGCAAGTCAGTAAGACGTAACGGGGACTTACCTTTATCAGTCGAGGAATAGACTATAAATGCAAGCAGGGCACGTTAGATCTGTACAGAACTTTGGTCAGGCCATAGCTGGTGTACTGTGTACAGTCCTGGTCATCATACTATAGGAAGGATGTGATTGCACATGATGTGGAGGTACCAGTGTTGGACTGGAGTGGCCAAAGTCAGAAGTCACACGACACCAGGTTATAATCCAACAGGTTTATTTGTAATCACAATCTTTCAGACGCTGCTCATTCGTCAAGTGAACCTCAGTGCTCCTAAAGCTTGTGATTTCAAATAAATCTGTTGGATAATAACCTGATGATTGCACACAAGGGTGGCAGGGGTGCAAAGGAGGTTCCCCAGGATGTTGTCTGGGATGCAGCATCTTAGCTACAAAGTGAGGCTGGATAAGTTCAAGTTGTTTTCCTTGGAGCAGAGAAGGTTTAAGGGGGACCTGACAGAAGTGTGCAAAGTTATCAGGGGCACAGACAAACTGGATAGAAAGCAGCTGTTCCCCTCAGTTGAGGGGTCATTAACAAGGAGGCATAATTTTAAGGTGACAGGCAGGAAGTCGTTTGAGATGTATAAAACTGTGAAGGGCATAGCTAGGGTTGACAGGAACAAACCTTTCTCCTGATGGAGGGATCAATGACTCAGGAGCACAGATTGAAGGTGAGGGGTAGAGGTGTAGAGGAAAATTGTTTTCACCCAGGCAGAAACCCTCATAACTCTTGAATAGTATTTAGATGTGCACAAGGCGGCTATAGGACAAGTACTGGAAAATGGTACTAGAACAGGGGTGGCACAGTGGCTAGCACTGCTGCCTCACAGCGCCAACAACCTGGGTTCGATTCCACCCTCAGACGACTATCTGTGTGGAGTTTGCACATTCTCCCCTTGTCTGCTTGGGTTTCCTCTGGGTGCTCCGGTTTCCTCCCACAGTCCAAAAACGTGCAGGTTAGGTAAACCGTCTATGCGAAATTGCCCATAGTTGTCAGGGATGTGTAGATTAGGTCGGTTACAGGGGAATGGGTCTGGGTGGGATGGTCTGAGGGTCGGTGTGGACTTGTTGGGCCGAAGGGCCTGTTTCCACACTGTAGGGATTCTGGGATTCTATGATTCTATTCTAACAGTTAGGTGGTGGTTTTTGACTGGTGCGGACACAATGGTTAGCACTGCTGCCTCACAGCACCAGGGAACGTGGGTTCAATTCCACCCTCAGGCAACTTGTGTGGAGCTTGCACATTCTCCGTGTCTGCTTGGGTTTTCGCTGGGCACTTTGGTTTCCTCCCATGGTCCAAAAAGATGTGCAAGTTAGATGAATTGGCCATGCTAAATTGCCCATAGTGTTCAGGGATGTGCAGGCTAAATGGGTTAGCCATGGGAAATGCAGGGTTACAGGGGTAGGGTAAGGATATGGGTCTGGGTGGGATGCTCTTCGGAGGGTTGGTGTGGACCCATTGAGCTGAATGGCCTGTTTCCACACCGTAGGGACTCTGTGATATTGATCTTTAAGATTCTATGACTTGAGGAAAACATTTTTCAACCAGAGGGTGGTAGGGATCTTAAATGTACTATCTGGGAAAGTAGTTGAGACAGGTAACCTCTCAACCTTTAAACATTAAAGACTATGCAAGTGGGATTAGTGTAGATTTCGTGTATTTTTGGCAGAACACACTTGATGGGCGGAAGGACCTCTTCTGTACTGTATGATTCAACGATTACAACTGATTGGATTCCAGGTTGATTCCACTGGATTGAAAAACTGATGTGATACCCCTGTTCAAGAAAGGAGGGGCACAGAGCAGGAAACAATAAGCCAGTTGGCATTAATATCCGCTGTTGTGAAATTGCAAGAGTCCATTAATAAGGAAGAAATAGCAATGGATTTAGAAAAGTTTAATAAAATCAAACAGAGTCAACATGGTCCCGTGAGGGGAAAATCATATTTCACAAAGATGCTGGCATTCTTTTACGATATACCAAGCAGAGTAGATGAAGGAGAATTGGTGAATGTAGTGTATTGGGATTTACAGAAAGCTTGCCTTCATTCGTCGGTGCATTAAGTAGAGGGGTTGGGATATCATGTTACAGCTGTACAGGACATTAGTGAGGCCATTTTCAGAATACTGTGTTCAATTCAGGTCTTCCTGCTTATATGAAAGATATTATTAAATTGAAAGGGTTCAGAAAAGATTTACAAGGATGTTGCCGGGATTGGAGGATGAGAGCTATATGCAGAGACTGAATAGGCTGGGACTTTCTTCCCTGGAGCACCAGGGGCTGAGGGTGAGGGGTGACCTTATAAATGCTTATAAAATCATGAGGGGTATGGATAGGGTGAATAGCAAAGGTCTCATTCGCAGGGTAAAGAACCACAAAACTAAAGGGCATAGGTTTAAGGTGAGAGAGAAAAGATTTAAAAGGACCTGAGGGCGGTGTGTTAATGGAACGAGCTGCCAGAGGAAGTGGTGGAGGCAAGTACGATTACAACATTTTAAAAGCTTTTGTATGGGTACATTAATAGAAAGGGTTGAGAGGGATATGGGCCAAATGCTGGCAAATGGGACTAGATCAATTTAGGATATCTTGTCAGCATGGATGAGTTGGACTGAAGGGTCTGTTTCCATGCTGTATAACTCTATTTGATCAGGTGCCACATAAACGGTTATTCCACAAGATAGGAACTCATGATATTCGGCGTTTTTTATTCATTCGTCGGACCTGGGTGTTGCTGGCTGTCCAGCATTTATTGCCTGTCCCTAGTTACCCTTGAGGTGGTGGTGACGAGTTATCTTCTTGATTCACTGCAGTCCGTGCACTGTACGTTGAGCCACAATGCCATTTGGAAGACAATTGACCCAACAACAATGAAGGAATGGCAACATACTTTCAAGGCAGGATGGTGTGTGTCTTGGAGGGGAACTTGCAGGTGGTGGTATTCCAATATAACTGCTGCCATTGTCCTTCTAGATTGAAGTGGTCATGGGTTTGGAAGGTGCTGTCTCAGGATTTTTGGTGAATTTCTGCAGTGCATCTTGTGGACATATGGACTGCTGCTACTAAGCCTCAGTGGAGGAGGGAGTGGATGCTTGAGCATGTGCCTTGAGCATGTGGTGACAATCAAGTGGGTTGCTTTGTCCTGGATGGTGTCAAGCTTCTTCCATGTTGTTGGAGCTGCACCCATCCAGGCAAGTGAGGAGTATTCCATCACACTCCTGGTTTGTGCCTTGTAGATGGTGGACAGGCTTTGGGGAGTCAGGAGGTGAGTTCTTGTTGCAGTATTCCAATCCTCTGAGATACTCTTGTAGCTACTCTGTTTATGTGGCGAGTTCAGTTGAGTTTATGGCCAGTGGTAACCCCAAGAATGTTGACAATGGGGGTTTCAGTTATGGTAACACCATTGAAAGTCAAGAGGCAGTGGTCAGATTGTCTCTTGTTGGATGTGATCATAGCCTGGCATTTGTGAAGCGCTTACTTGCAACAATGGATGTTGTCCAGATTTTGTTTGATTTGAAAACGGAGTGCTTCAGTATCTGAAGAGTCGCGAATGTTATTAGACATTGTGCAATCACCAGCAAACGTCCCCACTTCCAACCTTACGATGAAGCAGCTGAAGATGGTTGGACCTAGGACACTACCCTGAGGAACTCCTGCAGAGATGTCCTGGAGCTGAGATGACTGACCTCCAACAACTACAACCATCTTCCGATGTGCCATGTATGACTCCAACTAGAACATAATTTACCCCTGCTTCCCATTAATTCCAGTTTTGCACAGGCTCCTTCACACCAGACTCAGTCAAATGCGGCCTAGATGTCAAAGGCTATCTCACCTCATATCTAGAATTCAAATCTTTTGGCTTTGTTTGAACCAAGGTGAGGAGCTGATTGGCCCTGCTGGAACCCAAACTGGTAGCACTGTTGATGACACTTTCCATCGCTTTGCAAATGGCAGTAATTGGTTGGGTTGGATTTGTTCTACTTGTTTTGTACAAGACAAACCTGGGCAATTTTGGGTAGATGTCAATGTTTTAACTGTATTAACATGGTAATGTATTAAAATGGATTGAGGATTTGTTGACACAGTAGACAGAATCAGGATTAATGCCTCTTTTTCAGGTTGGAAATATGTAACTAGTGAAATACCACAAGGATCAATCCAAGGGCCTCAACTGTTTACTTTCCATATTAATGACTTGGAGGAAGGAGTTGTGTGCAACAAATCCAAATTTTTGATGACACAAAAATAGGTGGAAGGGAGTGTTGTGATGAGAACATAAGAATCTGCAGGGGGATATAGATAGGTTGAGTGAGGTTGAATTTCATTTAAGAAAGTGTGAGGTAAGCACTTTAGCATGAAGAGTCAAAAAGCAGACTCTTTCTTAAATGGAGAAAGTCTCCAAAACATTCAACTGAGGAATCTAGACCAATCCAGAACATAGAACAGTAAAGCACAGGAACTAGCCCTTTGGTCCACGATATCTGCACTGAACATGCCGCCATTCTAAATGGATCCCATCTGCCTTGAATTGGTCCATATCCCTCTACTCGCTGCATGGTCAGGTGTCTGCCTAAATGCCTCTTCAATGTTGTCTGGCAGTGTGTACCAGGCAACTATGGATCTCTGTAAAAAAAAAAAAAAAAAAAACTTGCCTTGCACATCTCCTTTAAAGTTTCCACCTCATCTTAAAACTCTAAACCCTTATATTTTGCATTTCCATACTATTCATGCCTCTTAATTTTATATACTTCTATCAGATCGCCCCTCAGCCTCCAACACTTGAAAAAACAATCCAAATTTGTTTAACATCTCCTTATAGCTAATATACTCCAATCCAGGCAATATTCTGGCAAACCCTTTTTGCACACTCTCCAAAATGTCCTTCCCTATATTGTGGTGACCAGAACTGGGCACAGTTCCAAATGTGGCCTAACTAAAGTTTTATTCATCTGCAGCATGGCTTACCAACTTTTATACTCAATGTCCTAACTGATGAAGGCAAGCATGCCATATGTCTTCTTTACCACCTTATCCACTTGTGTTTCGACCTTCAGGGAAGATCCCTCTGTATATCCTGACACTTACTGTATACTTTCCTCTCGCACCTGACCTCCGAAAATGCATCACATCACACTTATCCAGATTAAACTCCATCTGCCATTTCTCCGCCAACTTGATAAGTAATCTATATCCTTTATATAAGTATGTATAAACTGTATCTATTGACAACCTTCCTCACTGTCCACCACTACACCAATTTTCATGTTGTCTGCCAACTTACATCAGACCACCTACATTTTCATTCAAATCATTAAATTAACATTGTAGGAGCAAATCACTGAAACTGATGTGCTGAATCTGTATTGAAAACAAAAAAGTGCTGGAAATCACAACAGGTCAGCCAGCATCCGTGGAGAGAGAGCAAGCTTACGGTTTGAGTCCAGATGACTCTTTATCGGAGTTAGTGATGAAGCCAGTTCTGATGAAAAACATGAGGGTAGATAAGTCCCCTGGGCCTGACGGAATATACCCAAGGTTGACATAGGAAGCAAGGGAAGAGATTGCTGCGCCTTTGGTGACAGTCTTTGCGTCCTCACTGTCCACTGGAGTAGTACCAGATGATTGGACGGTGGCAAATGTTATTCCCTTGTAACAAGGAAGGGACTAGGGATAATCCTGGGAATTACAGACCGGTCAGTCTTACTTCCCTGGTAGGCAAATTACTGGAGAGGATTCTGAGAGATAGTACTTATGATGATTTGGAAAAGCACAGTTTGATTAGAAACAGTCAGTATGGCTTTGAGAGGGGCAGGTCATGACTCAAGCCTTATTGAATTCTTTGAGAATGTGACAAAACACATCGATGAAGGTAGAGCAGTGGATGTGGTGTATATGGGTTTTAGCATGGCATTTGATAAGGTTCCACGTGGTAGGCTCATTCAGAAAGTAAGGAGGCATGGGATTCGGGGAAATTTGGCTGTCTGGATACAAAACTGGCTGTCCAATAGAAGACAGAGGGTGGTAGTAGATGGAAAGTATTCAGCCTGGGGCTCAGTGACCAGTGGTGTTCCACAGGGATCTGTTTTGGGACCTCTGTTTTTTGCGATCTTTATAAATGACTTGGAAGAGGAAGTAGAAGGGTGGGTTAGTAAGTTTGCCAATGACATGAAGGTTGGTGGAGTTGTGAATAGCATGGAGGGCTGTTGTAGGTTGCAATGGGACATTGACAAGATGCAGAGCTGGGCAAAGAAGTGGCAGGTGGAATTCAACGCAGAAAAAATTGTGAAGCGATTCATTTTGGAAGGTCGAATTTGAATGCAGAATACAGGGTTAATGGCAGGATTCTAGGCAGTGTGGAGGAACACAGCGATCTTGGTCCACGTCCAAAGATCCCTCAAAGTTGCCAAGTTGATAGGGTTGTTAAAAGGGTATGGTGTATTGGCTTTCAATGGCAGGGGAATTGAGTTTAAGAGCAGTGAGGTTATGCTGCAGCTCTATAAAATCCTGGTTAGACCACACTTGGAATATTGTGTTCAGATCTGGTCACCTCATTATAGGAAAGATGTGGAAGATTTAGAGAGGATGCAGAGGAGATTTACCAGGATGCTGCCTGAACTGGAGGGCAGGTCTTATGAGGAAATGTTGAGGGAGCTAGGGCTGCTCTCATTGGAGCAAAGAAGGATGAGAGGTGACTTGATAGAGGTGTACAAGATGATGAGAAGCATAGACAGAGTGGATAGCCAGAGGCTTTTTCCCAGGACAGGAATAACTAATACGAGGGGGCATAATTTAAAGGTGATTGGAGGAAGGTATAGGGGACATGTCAGAGGTAGGTTCTTTACACAGAGTGGTGGGTGTGAGGAATTCACTGCTGACAGTGGTAGTGGAGTCAGATACATTAGGGCCATTTAATCGACTCTTGGATAGGCACATGGATGATAGTAAAATGTATGTAGGGTATTTTGATCTTACAGTAGGATAATAGGTCAGCACAACAGTGTGGGCCGAAGGGCCTGTACTGTTCTATGCTCTATGTTGTATGATGAAGAGTCATCTGGACTCAAAACATTAGCTTGCTTTCTCTCCATGAATGCTGCCTGACCCGTTATGGCTTCCAGCAGTTTTTGTTTTCTGTCATTTATATACATCATTTCTCTGTATCCATGAGGGTTTTGTTCATGAGAAACCTTGCAAATGATGAAACACATGAATGATATCGCAGATGCAATTTTTGCCCGCAAATGTTGATTTTTGTTGCTACTTATTTTTTGACGTAGATAGCCGAATTCGCGATACGTGATTTAGCAGATACAGAGTATTTAACTATATTTCAAAACAACAGGAGGTCCCAGCACTGATCCCTGTGAAACACCACTGGCCTCTGACCTTGAGTCAGAAAAACACCCAAAGCCCATCCTCTGACTTCTATAACCAAACTAATTTTGTATCCAACTGACCAACTCACTGTGAATGCCATGTGACTTAATCTTCTGCACCAGCCTACTACGAGGGACCTTGTCAAATGCTTTAGTCAAGTCCATGTCAACAACATCCACTGCCCTACTCTCAATCATCTTCTTTGCTTCCTCAAAAAACTCAAATCAAGTTTGTGAGACAAGTCCTCTTCTGCATAAAGCAGCGCTGACTATCCCTGATAAGTCCTTTCTCTCTAAATGCAAGTAAATGCTATCCCTTCCCCCCGTTTAGCACTTTCAATCAAGAACCAGTCTTAGCCTTTCATAGCTATCTTAAAACTTACAGAATTATGATCACTGTTCCTAAAGTGCTCTGCCACTGAAGCTTCAATCACCTAGCCAGGCTCATTCCCCAATACAAGGTTTAGTACAAAAACAGAAGTTGGTGAAAGCTCAGCAGGTCTGGCAGCGTCTGTGAGGAAAAAGAAACCAGAGTTAATGTCTCGGGTGCGGTGACCCTTCCTCAGAACAGTTCCGAGGAAGGGTTGCCAGACCCAAAATGTTAACTGATTTTTTTTTTCGTCACAGATGTTGCCAGACCTGCTGGGCTTCCAGCAACTTCTGTTTTTGTTCCCGATTTACAACATCCACAGTTCTTTCGTTTTTTTTAATTATACAAGGTTGAGTACGGCTCCTTCCCTTGTTGGACTAGCTACATATTGTTTCAAGAAACTCTCCTAGGCGTACCTAACAAATTCTGGAAAAAAGGGGGTCTCAGTCAATATTGTAGAAGTTAATATCACTCACTTCAACAATCCTGTTTTTTTACATTTTTCCATGATCTGCTTACATATCTGTTCCTCTCTCCCACTGACTGTTGGGAGGCCTATAATATAGCTCCAGCGTAGTGATCTGGATGTTTTTGTATCTCATGCACAAGAGGTTGTAGTCCCTGCAGGCTCAGTAATTAAGACGGCAAGTAGCAATTTGGTCTTCATTAGTTGGAGTTTATAAGTTTTGTTCAAAAGTGTACAAGGTATTATTGAGACTACACTGTATACAGTTTTGGTCCCTGGTTTTACTAAAGAATACACTGATATTGGAGGCAATTTAAAAGAGATTCACTAGGCTGATTCCTGGGATAAAGACAATGACTTATCAAGACTTAATAAACATTATTCTTTAAAGTTTACAAGGTTGAGAAGTGATTTTATCTAAACACACAAGATTCTGAGGGGTCTTGACAAAGTAAATGTTGAGAAGATATTTCCACTGGTGGGAAAATCTCAAACTAGGAGACATAGCTGTAAAATATGAGCAGATACGTGGATCATTGGGATACCTTCTGGGGAAGGTGGGACCTGTACAAGAAGGACGGGTTGCACCTGAACTGGAAGGGCACCAATATCCTGGGCGGGAGGTTTGCTAGAGCTGTTCGGGAGTGTTTAAACTAGTTTGGCAGGGGTATGGGAACTGGAGCTACAGGTCAGAGGATGGGGTAGCTGGTGTACAGGCAGATACACCATGCAGAAAGTCTCTGAAGAAGGATAGACAGTTGATAGGGCAAAGTTGCAGTCAGTGCAACGGATTGAAGTGTTTCTATCTTAACGCAAGAAGTGTCAGGAATAAGGATGACAAATTTAGAGCATGGATCAGTACTTGGAACTGTGATGTTGTGGCCATTACGGAGACTTGGATAACGCAGGGGCAGGAAAGGTTGTTGGATGTTCTGGGGTTTAGATGTTTCAAAAGAAATAGGGAGGGAGGTAAAAGAGGTGGGGGAGTGGCACTGCTAATCAGGGATGGTATCCAGGCTGCAGAAAGGGAGGTCGTCGAGGAAGGTTTGTCTACTGAATCAGTATGGGTGGAAGTCAGAAACACGAAAGGAGCAGTCACTTTATTAGGAGTTTTCTATAGACCCCTAATAGCAACAGAGACACTGAGGAGCAGATTGGGAGGCAGATTTTAGAAAGGTGCAGAAGTAATAGGGTTGTTGTCATGGGTGACTTCAACCCATTGGATAAAGGAACAATGTGTAACATCTCCAAGTTTGCAGATGATGCTAAGTTGGGTGGGAGGGCAAACTGTGACAAGGACACAGAGATCCTTCACCATGGGTTGGACGAGTGGGCAAATCAATGGCAGATGCAGTATAATTTGGATAAATGTGAAGTTATTCACTTTGGAAGCAAAAACAAGAAAGTCAAT